TGCTCGCTGGCAGAGAAGGAGCTGGTGCTGAGTGCAGGGGGAAAAGCAGCCTCTCTCCCACCCTGTGGCTGGTGCTCCTTGCTGCAGCCACTCACAGCCCATTCAGGGCTGTCCTGAGCAGACACAGGCAGCCCCACATGGGCTGCAGTGCGGGGTTCCCTGTTTGACAGGAACCCAAGGACAGATAAATATAAAGTTTTTAAATTTTTTTAGGGGCCCTGCGAGCTGTATTTTAGCCACCCCTGGTTTAGTAGCAACTCTAACAATTTTTTTCAAATGAGTCATAGGTTTTAAGCCTGGGCTATAGCTCATCCTGGGGAAATTGACCATTAGGTGGCTAACTTTTGACGTCTATGTAACGAGGTAAAAACAGCCAATTAGGGCTGCTCTGGGAGGCAGGGAGAACTTTCTTTCCCTTCCCAGTAGAAGATACCACTGTTATTCCAGGAGGGTAATGGATAGTGAGAATCAGAAAAAGCTCAACAGTGGGCATGTCTACATGATACATTTATTACAAGTAGACTAATTAGCTCCTCAGTAACCATCTTGCATCTACATGTGCAGCCCTATTAGGCCACAGGAAACTAGTTAACCTTGCAGCCAGGTAGTACTTGTAATACCTTATCTTCATTGGAGGTTTTCAAGAGGAGGCTAGGTAACTTGACAGGGATGCTTTAGGAATAGAGTGTTCTACATTCATGCAGAGGGTTGGACTAGATTACCTTTGAAATTACTTTCGCAACCCTGTGATCCTAAAGTTGGACTCTTCCTTGACATTGCTTTAATATTAATATTAAAGCCCCTGCATCACTTTGTCCTTTTCTGGTTTGTGATCTACTTTAGTAATGCAGCCGCTGACATATGACATGTGTCATGACCAATAGTTGAATTATGGTTTGTTTTTCACAGCTCAGTAGCTGTATGTTAGATGTTTTACAATCGGACATTTGACCATTGAGGTGGGAAAGAGCAGTGTGTTAGACTAGAGTTATCAAACTCTCCTGGGGCCCTGGGCTGGAACCAGACTGCAGGATCCCTTGTGGGCCACATCCAACCAAGGGCATGAGGGCTGCTGCAGTGGCTATTGAAGTTGTGTGAGGGTCCAGTGGGTGCAGGAACAGTGCAGGGTCTGGCAGTGGCAAAGGCACAGGGTTTAAGGGGGCAGGGGCAATGTAGGGTTCAGTAGCAGCCAGAGCAAAGGGTCCAGAGGGGGTGGGGTGGGATGGGGGTGGTGCCAGGGTCCAGTGGTGGCCAGAGCACAGGGTGCAGGGTTCAACAGGTAGAGGCAGTGCAGGGTCCAACAGCAGCTAAAGCAGAGGGCCCAGCAGCAGTGTCATTAATTCCCATGGTTACCAGAGTTGCTATTTCAGCGTGGCTCCAGAACCAAAAGTGTTAGCATCTCTCGCATCACTTCTCCCCACACCCCATCACCCACTGCAGAAATTGGGGGTTTTAGGATAAAATTGGCAGCAGTGGTGTTAACTCCGTGGCTTCCAGTCATTCTGAAACAGCAGGCGCAGAGACGAATACCAGTGCTGCTGTTCACAGGCCATCTAGACTCCAAATCCTCAGTCTGGATTTGGCCCACGAGATCAAATTAATTTGACACCCCTGCTCCAGATGACATACTTCAGTATGTCAGTATTGTATTTATAGAGTATGAATTCAGTGTTTGATCTGTTTATACTCTATCTGTTCATAATTTTTCTTAGCATTATCTCTTCATTTTCACATTTCTTAAGCTGCAGCCTGGTTGTTTTATGCTTTGTGTAATTCAAAGGGAGAAGAGATGTAGGAGAGTTCTCAATCAGCAATTCCTAACCTCATCTAGATAAATGTTTTTCTGGGGTAAAAAATATTTTTCTGGACAATTTATAAAATCTGGTTTCTTTATTTGGGCAGTATTCTTTCTCAGCAAGTTTTTCAGTTCTCCATGTGTACAAAGATGACTTGGATTGAGATACAGTAAATGCCTGGTTAGACCAGCCAGTACTGTGGCTTTCTGTTGTACCTACTAAATTCATAAATCACTTTTGGTAAATCAAGTTAACTTGCAGTGGTAGGATTAAAAATAATGCTAAAATGATCAGCATTTTTTTAATGTTGTAAGTTACCATAAATAGATTGCGACTATTAGTACATTTTACACTTTTGGGGTTTTGAAACTAAATCACTAGTGAAAGTAAGTTTAAATATTACAACATAATACTCTGTTTTCATGTTTCCAGCAAAATTTGATGTCTCAGGCATAATTAAAATAGGTTGGTACCCTGAACAGGGAAACTTTTATATAGCAGTCTTCATTATGACATGATTAGAATAACAGAGACTTGGTGGGATAGCTTGTTTGACTGGAGCACTGCCATGGATGGGTACAAACTGTTCAGGAAGGACAGACAGAGAAGAAAAGCAGAAGGAGTTTCACTTTATGTAAAAAAGCCATATGATTGCTCCAGTATGAAACTAGGGATAGGCCTTTTGAAAGTCTCTGGGTTAAGCTTAGAGGGGAGAGCAACAAGGGTGATGTTTTGGTGGGTGTCTGCTATAGACCACGAGACCAGTGGAGGGAAGTGGTCGATGAGGCTTTCTTCAAACAGCTATTGCAGGTTTCCTGATCGCAGGCCCTGGTTCTCTTGGGGGACTTCAGTCACCCTGACATCTGCCAGGAGGGCAGTACAGCAGTGCACAGGCAATCCAGCAAGTTTTTGGAGAGTGTCGGGGGCCGCTTCCTAGTGCAAGTGGTGGGGTGGCCAAATACAGGGCCTGGTTTTCTTGAACTGCTGCTCACAAACAGGGAAGAATTGGTGGGGAATGTAGTAGTGAATGGCAACTTGGGCAGCAGTGACCATGACATGATTGGGTTTAGGATCCTGAAGAAAGGAAGGATGGAGAAAAGCAGACTAAGAACTCTGGACTTCAGAAAAGCAGACTTTGACTCACTCAGGGACCTCATGGGCAGGATCTCCTGGGAAGCCAGTCTGAGGGGGAGAGGAGTCCAAGAGAGCTGGCTGTACTTGAAAGAAGCCTTACTGAGAGTGCAGGAACAAAACCATCCCAATATGCAGGCAGACTGGCAAGTATGGTAGAAGACCAGCTTGGCTTAGCAGGAAACTCTTCAGTACACTAAGTCACAAAAAGGAAGCTTGTAAGAAGTGGAAACTTGGACAGATAACTAGGGAGGAGTATAAGAGTATTGCCTGGTGATGCAGGGATGAAGTCAGGAAGGCCAAAGTGCAATTGGAGTTGCAGCTAGCAAGGGACGTTAAGGGTAACAAGAAGGGTCTCTGCAGGCATGTCGGTAGTAAGAGGAGGATCAGGGAAAGTATTGGGTCCCTTACTGAATTGGGGAGGCAACCTTGTGACACAGGTTTCAGAAAAGGCTGAAGTACTCAGTGACTTCTTCGCCTTAATCTTCATGGGTAAGGTCAGCTCCCAGACTACTGCTCTAAGCGGCACAGTTTGGGGAGGAGGTGAGCATACCTCTGTGAAAGACTGGGTTAGGGACTGTTTAGAAAAGCTGGACATACGCAAGTCCCTGGGGCCAGAGGAGATGGACCTGAGGGTGCTGAGGGAGTTGGCTGATGAGATTCCAGAGATGCTGGCCATCATCTTTGAAAACTCATGGCAATCAGGAGAGGTCCCAGATGGTTGGAAAAGGGCAAACATAGAGCCCTTATTTAGGAAAGTAAAAAATGAAGATCCAGAGAACTACAGTGCAGTCAGCCTCACATCAGTCCCTGGAAAAATCATGGAACAGATCTTCAAGGAATCCATTTCTAAGCACTTTGAGAAGAAGGTGATTAGGAACAGTCATCATGGATTCACCAGGGGCAAGTCATGCCTAACCAACCTGATTGTGTTCTGTGACAAGGTGACTGGTTCTCTGGATGTGGGAAATCCAGTGGATCTGATATACCTTGATTTTTAGCAAGGCTTTTGATAGTCTCCCACAACATTCTCACAGGCAAACTAAGGAAGTATGGGCTGGATGGATGGAGTGTAAGGTGGATAGAAAACTGTCTGGAGCATTGGGCTAAGAGGGTGGTAATCAATGGCTCAATGTCTAGTTGGCAGCTGGTATGAAGTGGAGTGGGAAGGGAGTAAGATATGCTGGAGGCTAGGATTAGGATTCAGTGTGACCTAGACAAATTGGAGGATCGGGCCAAAAGAAATCTCACGCAGTTCAACAAGGATAAGTGCAAAGTCCTGCACTCAGGATGGAACAGTCCCATGCACCAGTACAGGTTGGGGGCTGACTGTCTGGGCAGCAGCTCTGCAGAAAAGGATCTGAGTGTTATAGTGGACAATAAGATAAATATGAGCCAGCAGTGTTCCATAGTTGCCAAGAATCCTAATGGCATACTGGGCTGCATTGGTAGGTGTGTTGCCAGCAGGTCAAGGGAACTGATTATTCCCCTCTATTCAGCCCTGGTGAGGCCACATCTGGAGTACTGTGTTCACTTTCGGGGCCCCCTCTACAGAAAGGATGTGGACAAACTGGAGAGGGTCCAGTGAAGGGCAACAAAAATGGTTCAGGGGCTGGGGCACATGACTTATGAGGAAAGACTGAAGGAACTGGTCTTATTTAGTCTGGAGAAGAGGAGACTGAGAGGGGATTTAATGCAGCCTTCAACTACCTGAAGCGGGGTTCAAAAGAGGATGGAGCTAAACTGATCTCAGTGGTGGCAGATGACAGAACAAGGAGTAATGGTCTCAAGTTTCAGTAAGGAAAGTTTAGGTTAGATATTAGGAAACATTTTCTCAGTAAGAGGGTAGTAGTAATATGCTGGAACAGGTTACCCAGAGAAGTGGAATATCCAACCTTGGAAGTTTTGTCTAGCCAGGTCTTAAAAATTTTGGCTGGGATGATGTAGTTGGAGATGGTCCTGCTTTGAGCAGGGGGTTGGATTAGATAACCCCCTGAGTTCCATTTCAACCCTAATTTTCTATGATTGTGTCTTCAGTTTTTGAAAGTGCTTGTGATCCCTTATTTGGTAGATGAAACTTGAGCAACCTATTTTTAAAGTGTATTTTAAGGTTTCCCACCTGAGAGATTCAATTAATGTATTAATTAAAGTTTTAAGTGTATTAATTAATCTTTTCTGCTACCATGTTTTCTAGAAATGATTATGAGGAGTTAGCCCAGCAGTGCAAAACCTTTGCTAAAGACTTGCTTGCACAGGCACGAAACTCACGTGAGCTTGAAGTTATTCTAAACCACACATCTAGTGATGAGCATATAGATAAACGAGGATTGTTAGAAGAGAGGATGAATTTGAGTCGCTTAAAGCTTGCCATCAAGTATAATCAAAAGGAGGTAAGTCTTTCTCTCTCTTTGCTGTGTATTAATCTGACGCACAGGCTTTTTTATACTGGATTTTACTAGCGATTCATTTAAGTTTTATTCTGCCTATAGAAATTACAAGAACTGTGACAAGGGACTGAGTGTTAATAGAAAATGTAATACTATGGTCTGGTAATAAAAGCAAAATACCAGATATTTCACCAGGATTTTTTTTTACCATATTTACTGCATTAGTTTGCAGAACGCTATCACTAGGCTACCAAGCATTGTTGTCTCCAAGGACCTATTAGGTCCTAGTACAATAGGGTTCAATTCAAATAAACATACAGCAACCATTCAGTGAGTAAAAACTTACACTTAGCACAGCTTTCATTCAGACTATCAGCCAGGTGATCAGACTGGGCAGCAGCATGAATGGTGCAGGTTTAAACACAACTCCAGCATGCATTTCTGTTTACTCTTTTTATACATTGCAAGCATTTATGCAGTGATATGGGTTTGATGTCTTACAATTTTCTGATTAATGATCTTTATGATTACAAAATTTCTCCATACATTTTGATGTCTAGTGTACCAGGCTTTGGTTGCACTGTCCTCATGATCAATCATACTTGAACACAGCAAACGTGTTCTTCACGTTCTCACTGACCACCTGTCACACAGTTACAGAGTCTCCCTATGCCTGAAGAAGATGCTTGTGCCCAAAAGCTTGCAAAGAACTGTGTTCCAAATACTCATTTGGTCTAAATAAAGATATCTACCCAAAGACCCTTGCCTGCCTATGTCCTTAGACCAACACTGCTACAACCAAAAACCCTGCTTCACAATCAGTGACGTTTGGTGTGTCATACCTGTACGGTTCACTGTTTAGTGAACTTGTTTGTTTATGCCATCCCCAACTCACCTGTTGTTTTAGGCTTTTTCATACCATCCTATGTGCTTTTTTTAATCTGTTATGGCAGTTAGTCCTGATTTTGTCTAGCCCAGGATGTTCTTAAATGGATCTCAGATATTCTGATGCACTGTTTTCCACAAAACTTTACACCTTCAGACTTTTAACTCTTACTGCTCCCAGCATACCTTATGGCCTACACTAAATTTGATAATTATCCCCACAGATTCCCATTTCAGTGTTTGTTTTGTCACATACATAGCCTGGGTACCTGACCTCCTTTATCCAACTCCCGTTTTTATGGGATTTTGTCATCTGACCCAGACTTGTCTCCATTAATTATTCCGCTATAGCTGTCTTGGTATAATTGTGTGAACATTGTTCAAGAATAACAAAGATTTTATTAAATCCTGTAGAACTCATCAATAAATGTTCTTTCCATCTCTACCCTTTGGGCACATCCATCCAGGAAGGACTTAATTTTAAAACCATGCTTTTAGGTCTGACTGCTTGTCTTTGGGACAAAGTATTTCATGGCTGACAATGACACGGGTTGCAAAGGGGATGAGAATGAATTATTCAGCAGTGCTACTGAAGCTGTTTTTATACTATGTCCAGGCATGGTTTCACATACAATTAGTCTAGGATATTTTCTTGTTTAGATGAGCTTGTAGTTGACTTCTGACTGGCAAGTTCAGGACTCTGCACGCAGCAGGTAAGAAAAAAAATAATACTGAATAATAAGTGCCTAGTGGTCACCTATGTGTTTCATCCTTTAGTCATCACTGGTTGAGTTTCCATCCCTTTCTCTCCATCTGGTGCATGTTGTCAGAGAATCAAGGTGATCTGTATTGGCACTGTAGAAGAAAGGACCGCTGAAGACTAATGCAGTGTTGGTTATAATCATAATACAGTGGTAATAAATCACTAGGTCCTTGCCCTTTTCTTATATAATGAGGTACAGCTGAACTTAAGCATTTTTAGGGACATAAGGAGGTACACAAGAGGTGAATCAGGATAATGGGTCTGTTTTGGTGCTTGGAATCTAGTAGACTTGACCGCTACTTACTTTTTTCTGTGATGCTAGCTGGGTTGTGATGTTCTTAATACCTGGTTTGAAGATCAGGTCCAAAACACGACCAGTTGTGTGGACTGAACTGGTTTGATGTGTGAAGTTCTTAGGGAAGCATCACAATGGTCTGTATGAATTAATGCTTGTAACTGTTAAGTCTTTGGTAGCTAACTAGCCTTAAATGCTTATTCAGTGCCTTATAAATTCAAGAGGGCTTCTAAGGGAAGTGTAGAGCTCTTAGGCTCTACCTTCCACAACAAATCTTGATTTCTTTTTGACTACTGCTGCCTGGATTATGAGTGCTCTGAGGCAGAGGCAAGTATACAGCTGTATATTATATTGTTTGCACCCCCAAAACACATTTATGTGAATAAACACTTGTCCCACTGTTTATCTGGGTATCCAGAACAGTGCAATTTAGATGCTAATCTATAATGCCCTGGATACTTAGAAAGGAGGAGGATAGCACCCAAACTGTCAGCAAGTCATTTTAGGTTTTCCCTTCCTGTCTATACCCCATATATCTGTACGTAGCTTACTCTAATGCTCATTTCCTGATTCGGTTTGCTTAAATTTCTTTGCTTCACTGAGGCAGGCAGGGTTTTTGAGTAGATGTCATATCTTTTATTAGACTAACTGAGTAGTTGGAAAAAAGCTCTTAGCAAGCTTTTGGGCGTATTCACCCTTCTTCAGGCATAGGGAGTCTGGGAACTGGACTGAACTAGTTTTTATGGCCTTGAAGGGTGGGATTTACATCCTTGTCAAAATTTAGGTTTTTGGAGAGAAGATTTCTTATCTCCTTTAACCAGTTTGTGATGGTACTTGCCATGATCCTATTTTCTTTTTACTTTATTTTATGGTCTTTGCTGATAGGGCAGCTTTGGTTTTAAAACTTAAGGCACTCAAAACAAATGTCTCTTCCAGAACAGGTGGATTTAATACATTTCATTACATCAATCATTACTCACATTCTTAAGCAAAAACTATAATATACTGTGTTTGAATGATCTGTTTTAAGGTTTTCTTGTATAATCTTAAAGCATTTTGCTCTGTGTAATTTGATCTCTCTACTGTTTTCGCTGGGCATGGTAATTGTTTTCCTTGCTTTGGCCCCACTAGTTGTAATGTCCACAAAGTTCACTTTGTGGTTACTTGGAAATGGGCTTTTTGGCCTTCTATTTTAGTTGCCCTTCTGAACCTGTCCTAAGCCCCTTGAAAATGGCCACGTCTAGCAAATCAACAGCAATATGGAGAGTCTAGAAAAATCTGGAAGCTTTGTGCCAGTGTTGACTATGTAGACGATAATGTGGTTCAGGATCATGGATCTGGAGGCTTCTGTCCCAAGGACACTTGACAACCAGATATGGAAGTTATTGTACAACATAAGTTAATTTCTAAGTAATCTGAACCCTTCTTTAAAAACTGAATTCAGGTTCCTATTTAAAAGGTTTTGTGAGGTCGTATAAAGTTTAGGCTGTTCAAAAAGAAACTTGATAGACTGAGTGAATTTTCCAGGCCTAGAGACATGGTATCCATTTTTGGTATGTGTTGAGCAAATGCACAAAAATATTTCTCAGGTGCTTCTGTTCATCATCACAGCTTTCTTACTACTATGGTTAGATGAAATGGAAATTTTTTTAGAGTGATATAGGGAAAGTTTTATGCAAAATATTTTACTGTTGATAGTTTTGTTGAGGTAAGAACTTATTAATGAGGTGATTTAAAAATATTGTGATACTAAAAAGAAGGGATTGTCTGTTCATTTTATATTAAATTCCAGATGGTGTATACAAAGAGTTCCTAAGCCTCTCACCATTATAATACAAACTTTGATTAAAATCTGGTAAAACGTGGTTTGTTCAGCAAAGCACTGGGTCTTGTAAAGTTAATCCTGTGCTCAAATGCTTTGCTGCACTATAGCCATAATGATTAAAAAGAGGATCTGATTTGTATAGGATTATTTGTCTACTTTGGTCCTGATCCTGTGAGGCATTGTGACCTCAGTTCCTGTTCCTGGTAAGTGTGATGCAATGCATAAAATACTGGTGTTGGTGAACTTTGGGGGAAACAGCTTCTTAGCAAATCAGTCCTGGAGTAAATAAAAAGCATGGGAGCGTGGCATGGCTTTTTGACCTAGATAACAGCTTAATTTAATGTTTTCAAAAATATATTCTTAATCTTACTGTTAATTGTGACACATCAAGAAATCTCATTGTTAACCATAAAAACACTAATGCTGTTCTATGCTCAAAGATACTGGAAGGAGGTGAATGTAATGTATGCTTGATTATCTCTTTAGTATTTGTTTCTTGTTTCGTTAGTATTTTTAAGTTCTTAAAACATTAACATGTTTAAAATACATTTTTATATGAATTATTTTTACTTGGTGGAAAATGGGATTACATGATCCACAACTGCCTCATTACAGCTTGCATATTAATTTTAATAATATGTTTAAATTGGTATTGAGAGACCTGACTGCTTGTTTTCTTTACAGTTTGTTGCCCAGTCTAACTGTCAGCAGTTTCTCAATACTGTATGGTTTGGACAGATGGCAGGCTACCGACGCAAACACACTTGTAAGAAGATTTTGACTGTTTTGACAGTTGGCTTTTTTTGGCCAGTGCTGTCCCTGTGTTACTTGTTAGCTCCAAAATCACGAGTAGGTCAAATAATTCACACTCCTTTTATGAAGTTTATTATTCATGGAGCTTCATATTTCACGTTCCTGTTGTTGCTTAACTTGTACTCACTTGTCTATAATGAAGATAAGAAGAACACAATGGGGCCCGCACTTGAGAGAATAGATTATCTTCTGATAATATGGCTTATTGGTAAGTAACAGATGGATAAAAAGTGTAAACAAAAGGTTCTGACTGATCTGGCAATGTTTGTACTGCTCCTATAGGATATCAGAGTTCCACTCAGTGACTGGTGCCTGTTAGCTAGTTTGAAGATAGACGGTGATAGGAACAACACACTTTCAGAGACAGAATATGATCTGCTGTAAAAGCAATCTCTAGTTATCAGAGAAAGTTAGCATGTCCAAGTGTACTAGGATGTAACTGGACATAGGGGCCTGGGGATGCTACTTCAGAATTTCTACTAGAATGCTCTTTCAGCCACAAATAAAGTGACATGTGGTTTGGGATGTTGATATATCAGTGTGGGAACTGTGTTTCTTCACAGTGTTTAGTATTTTTAATATTTACTTAAAAGTATGTGCATTTTTGATTGTGAATAGCTACATTTTCTGTAATAGATAGTGGGGTATAGCCAATGATTTGTCTTGAATGTCAAATTGAAAAGTATAGGTAGAAGTATTTCCAAAGTAATTTTATTTTTTCAGTGGTTTCATAACTAGGTACTTTTGTTTATGGTGGGCTCTGTTTAGTCAGTAGTTTGTCAATAATTGTTTTGGTTTTTTTAGTCAGTCACCTATAAGCAGCTGTTTAAATTCTGCCAAACCCTTTGAGCTTCTTTGTTTTTTATATTCCTGTAAAAAAAAAAAAATAATAATAATAATATTCTCGGCTCCCTGGTGGTTTGGAATTATGCTAGGGTATATCAGAATTTTAGTGCAACTAGTTAAAGCTTTAAAAGGTAGAGAAAAAGGCCACTAAATTATTATTATATGCCATTGGAAATAACAAATTCAGTTAAAAAAATTCAGGTGTTTTATGCAAGTCAGTACAATTTCTCCTAGTTACTGGTTCTTGGAATAAATATGTAATCAAATTCAATCAAGTCTTATATATTATCTTTTTACTTTAGAGTATATGGGTCTCTGAAGACCTGAGGACCCCCTGTACATTCCCCTTGTATTGATGGATTTCAAAAAAAAAATTATTTATTTTTGGTCAAGCGTTAAAATGGTGAAAAATCTCTCATTTCAAAGGGTTTAAATATGAGTCCTCTCCAGCCCTTCATTCTGCCCTGTTAAGAAGGAGGTAATGGATTGGACACAAATTTCTTATTTGTTATTACAGATTGTCATCAGCAACATGACCTTTCACCTCTACTTCTGTAATATTTGACTGTTTTTTCATGTTGTATGAAGTGAAACTTAAAGCCACTACTAAACTGGCAAATGGCTAAAAGAGACCTTTTTTTTTAGCCCTTTCATGTAAAAATCCTTTTATGTTTAATATAATTGAAAACCTACTGACTTTTTCGTACTCTCTCTTTTTGTGTTTTTAATGGTATTTTAATGGTGCTTCCTTTTTATACACCAGTATCTTCTATAATGTCAGCACATCTGACAGAATAATATTTGCAAACTAATTCTGGTTGGTGCAGAGCCAGTAGAGGGAGCACATGTACCACTTCTGGATAGACTTGACCTTGTAAACTTTGACTGATGTATGAATTTCTCAGCCCTTTTTAAAGGTTTTTTGTTGAGTCTAGCAGCCTAAATGTAGGTTAATTCTCAAAAGATACTATGTAAAAGGAATATAGACTGATGCACATGATATGTATCCTCATTTGTAGGAAGTTTTTAAAATAAACAGTTGTAAAAGTTATATTTTTGCTTAGGTGCTGTTACTTTAAGCAAAAATCCTTTTACAGTGATTCTTTTGAGTAACTGGATAACTAAAAATACTTAGTGTTTCATAAGAATTTCTAAAACTGCACCTGTACTAAAAAAGTCCCATGGTGTACATAAGTACCAGAACTTCTCTAAGGGTAGATGTTAATAAGGATCATTCTCCCTTCCAGAATGAACAAGTTAGTAATTCCCTGTTCCTAGTTCTAGGGAGTAGAAACTATTCTAACATAGTTTACATAGTTGATTATTTTTAAAATAAACTGTCTCTTCCAAGAATTTAAATGCATTTGGAAATCTAACATAAGCATAGGTTTTATGAAGGGTTGAAAAGGGATTTGCATACTTGTGGTGAGGTTGTAAGTGACTGATGTGGTGCCAAGATTCATAACTCTTACCTATTTTATTAGGATTATTGGATCTTAATATTTATATTGAAATAATATAAGTGCATTACATTTTTCTTGCAATTTTGTCATTGAATGATGCAAAGCAATACATTTTATTGTGTGTATAACTTGGTAGTGTGCATATGTGATTTTCAAAAAATACCTAAATTAACTGGGAGAAAAGGAACAGTGTTGATTTCATCTAATCATTAACTAATTTAATCTTATCTAACTTTAAACTTTGAGATTGTCAGTAACTTCACTGAATCAATAGTATAAAATAGCCAAAATTCTGTATTGACTTTACGACTCCAAGTTAAAGTGAGTTTTGCATAGAACTAGATTCATCTTTCAAAATGAGGAATAGTGTTACCTCACCATTTGAAATAAGTGACTGAGAACAACAACCTGTGTCCCTGGATAGATTTCCCAGACAAATAAGTGATGCTGCAGTTCTAAGGCTGCTTTTTACCTTAAATACTTTTTGTATAAAGTCCTAGGTCAGTTCAGTTGCACATTGAAGAGTTAGGGAAGTTCCTGGGCAAGACCCAAAACTAGGAAGAATGAAAACTTAAACAAGAGTCATCTGTGAAAACTGTGGACAGCATGTATTTTTTTGGTCTGGCTTTAATCTTGCAACGTTTGAACAGAATTTACCCTGCAACAAGGAAGGTCATGCAGACTCTCTCCTAGATTATTTATGTTTACTTTTGCTGGACCTCATTCATTGAGAACTTGCAAAATCCTGCAAGGTAGGCCAAATCCAACAAATGTTAGTTGCCAGAAATGTAAATACTGTTTATCTCCTTATTTTTATTATGGTAGCAAGCATCTGAATGGTCCAAATACTCAAAAGAACATTAAATAATTGTACACTTAAGATCCACAGATAATCAGCCATGTTTCAGAAAAATGTCTTTTCAGGTTTATGAATTTTCCAGTTCTAATATGCATATTTAGCTAATAAAATGCAGCCTGGTGAAATTTTCTTTATAGTGGGTAGTAGTAAACAATGGGTAGATTTTAACAGCGTATCTTTAGTAAGGAAAAAAATAGCCATCTGAAAAGCCCTAGATCCATTTGTGAGTTTGTGGTACTAACAGAATCTTTTTTAACTTTTGTAAATTCAGAGCTCCCTGTTTTTTTGATTACGTATGGAAAATTTCTATTGAATCACTGACCTTACTTGAACAGTTTTGAAGCTTCCTTTTTCCTGGCACATTTTCTAATGCACTCCCAGAAATATATGTCACGCTATTCTGGAAATGTGTGGATAATTACTTTTTGGGGAAAAGCTGACTTTTAGAAAGGCAGCTATATTTTGGTCCTGAAATATTGTTTACATTAGATGCATTTACTAAACTTTTTTTTTAGAGAAGTACCAGTACTCTTGAGGCAGTTAGGTATTTTGCAGCTTTATAGTTGCTGAACTTTTATATTTAAACAAACTCTATCCTGTTTAACAATTAATGTAGAAATCCCTCTCTTCTTGTCACTAAAATACTTTGAAATCAGGTAGTCCTCATTTTGCAAAAAACTAGTCAGCAGATTCTGCTACTACCAGTAAAAGAAAGTGTGTACAACATAATGTAGTGACATCTCCTTCTCTTACTCTCTTTCCTGGACTTCCT